GTTACTTTTCAAAATTATTTTCCTAATCTAAGCACAATTTTAACGTTTAGTTAGTTACAAGTTTAGTTACAGTCATAAGAAATCGCAACGTTATTTTGTTAAAAATAACATATCGTTAATAAAACATAGCGATAAAAGTAAGTGTGTTACTATTCTTTCTTTTTCTAAATATTAAAGAGAGCGAATATTAAAGAGATATCGTTTTTTTATTTATTTTAAGGAAAATATTTTGTATTATAATATCTTCTCATAAAAAAGTTTCTTTTTTAGCATTTATTCACATGTAAATATATGGCGAAGAGTAAAAGGATAAGAGCATATTATTCGCGGATGGAATAAAATAGTTTATAAACTTTATATTTTTCAATCTTTATTAAATAAGTTAATTTAAGATAACGCTTATTATATGGAAAAATTTTTGCTACATTCACCGCGATTAAACTTTACACGTTATTAATTTCAAAAGAATAAAGTTTAAATTTGAGCAAACGGGATTAAAATAAACTCATTGTTTTATCAATCTTTTTTTCCTAAGACGATACCGGTGTCGCCCTCGTACGAGGAAGAAGGTAAAGACATTTAAGAAGACTCACCCTCCTCCTTCTTGCACCCTTCTTCAGCTCTAAGAAAACGTCACCCTCGTGGTAAGGCAGCTCGCGGAAAGGTCGGTAAAAAACGAGTTTTAAAAAATGTAAGAAATAATTACCATTAGCAAAATATAATTCATTGACTAATTTGTTAATTTAACATCTCTCGAAGGTCAACCTTCCAATAATTTTTCAGGGATTGTCAGAAATATTTTTTCTCACAGAAATTTGATTTTCTTAATTTATTAAAGATTAAAAAAGACAGTATAAAGACTGTCACTTCGAAGAATCGACTTTTCTAACTAGTATAGTTGCTGCTGAATCGACGTAAGATTAGAGGGTGGACAGCTATTAAACCTGAGCAAAACGAGTCGGTAAGAAAGAAAGAATAAGGATATTTTCTTAAAGAAGTTGCACCGCCGGCAAGCGTCTTTTAAGAAACCACTAGTACGCTTAGTCACCACTAAGAAAGATGGCGCCTTCTTTAAAGAATCTTGTTAAAAAGTTACATTTCTTTATTTTATTCAAATTCTTTTCCTTTTCTACTACTATAAAATATAAGAAAACAATATTTATATCTCCCGGTTGCAAATTGTTGCAACATTGTTTATATTTCAACGCTGAACATTTTGTACCGTTGATGAATTGTAGCAAGTCTGATTTCGCTTTGCAAATCCGAACACGCGAAAAATCCCAGAATCTTCGTACAAGCGAACCTTTTTTTCCCCCGACGTTCCCTCTTTTCCCGTTCCTTTCGGCGTGTCGGCATTTTCGCCGCGCCGCACGAAGAACAAAGGACGGCTTCACGGTCGGTTAATTTAATCTAAGCAAACATCATACAGATGGTACGGCAATGCGTTTCATGGGGTGTCAGGGAGATCGGGGAGGGTGGGAAATACCTTGAGTGCTGCAAGCGAACGGAGACGGGGATCCGCGGGCCATGGATCTAGATACATACGTAAGTACAAGAGTATTCAAGACGGTGCCGTGAAGCGATGTTTAGCATGTAGATGAAGATCTTGGTAATCAAGGGCTGGTGGCCCCGCGGGCACACTTCGTCAAGTCTCTCTCTTATTTCCAGGCATCGTCATGCAATGCACGAATCAGCGTGGAATTTAATACGATGCTGTCTACTAAGAGTTTTACGCGATCTTAGAATATGAGAATTGCTTACATAGGTTAAATAAAAACTTCTAGAAATTTTAGACACATTTTAAAGCACATTGGTTACGTTAACAAATCCGATAATAAAGTAGGAAATTGAATTTTTTTAAAGAAAAAATATAATAACGCGGTCTTTCTTTTACACTTCTGAGCATCGTTTACTGACTAACTTTATATTAAAATTTAACAGTAAAACTGAATAAATTCTGATTAGTTTATTTCTCTCTCTCTCAACAACCGCAAATAATATAATTAATCGATCAAAGAAATTAAAATCCCTTCTATTTTATTTTATTTTAAATAAAATAAAAATTCCGGATGACAAAAGCCGATTATTTCCAACGAGATACGAGGAAAGGGTGTCGTACAAAAATTTTTTTTTAATATTAAAAAAGAAAATAAAATAGGAATAATTAATTTTTTTGATCGATTAATTGTTATTTGTTTAATTGTTATCAAATCAAACGGTTTAAAACAATAAAAAAAACTCGGTTTGCCACGATGTTCATACGACACCCTTTCTCGGAAACGTCTCGAATCGGAGTCGTATCTCGTTCGAAATGATCGGGTCTCGTCGTCCGAAAATTCACCCCGTAATCGACGGACAAAAAGTAATTTCCCATCGAGCGCGACAAAGGGTGATTTTGCATGGGGGGAGGGGAGAGTCGTGTCGGCGATAGCCAGGGGGTGGCAGTGACCGGTGCGTGTAACGACCATTCTCCCCTGCCGCCTCGTCACCGCGATTCCCTCGCTGCCACCTCCAAAACCACCCCTGTACCACCGCGGCCGCTGCCGCTGCCGACCAGAGAGAACGTTTACGGGGAACACGCCACGTGCGCTCTATGCGTAGAAAAGATGTGGGAGGCATGCGTATGTGTGTACAACGCGTTCGGTTCGACTGGTATGTGGGGCTCTGGGACACTTTTTGTTCGTGCCTTTTCATCTCCTTTCGTTTCTTTCAATAGAAAATCAGTGGGCGCTATGACAATCGTTTTATTAACATAATGACTAAATGACGCGTTAACTGAATAATTGATTGATTGATCAACTATACACATGTTACATCAACTATATACATGTTAGTCACATCAGCTAGATGTGTTATTTAAAAAAAATTATATCGGAATTCATGCAACTTTGTATAAGTATTAATATTTATATTAATAATATAATTACAAAAATAAAAACTATTATATAGAAATGTTATATAGAAATTAAACTTAAATTTAAGTTTAATTATTAAAATTGAATATATCAATAATATTATTATAAAAATTGATTTTTAATTATGCGTGACTTAAAAAAATTCCTTATAAACTGTAGTATGTATATGGTGCACATTCAATTTACTGCACATTCAAGCCATTCTTTTACAGTCTCTCCAGATTTAACTTCCTTTTTCACCTAGAGAAGCCGGGTCGACCGCGTCATAAATCGCATTACAGCGAGTAATTATTGTTCTTCATTACTCAGGAAGTACGCGGAGTTGCATGCACAAGTCGTGACAAAAGAGCTTCGATATTCGAGATTCTCTCTTCTGCGCCCTTCGTTTCTCTTTGTGTGATGATATATATATATCCTCCGCGAGGACACCCGTGAGATAAAGGATGTAAAGGATGAAAAAAACCGAAGAGAGAATCGCACGGAAAAGGATGAGCACCAAGCAACGCCGAATCGTGGATTTAGCGCGGAATCGGTAGCGTGGCATGGCTGCGGGACGATAAATCGGCATGGCCAACTGCTCGAGTCAACGAGCCGTGTCCAGTTTGCCGCCCCTCGCTAGAGAGTGGTTCAGTGGACGCGAGTTCTCGCGGGGAGGAAAAGGGACGAGGGAAACGAAGAGTCGCCGCGGGAAGCGGAAGGGTGAGAGGGACTATCCCGACATTCACCACACGCTATTCTTCATACTCCATTATCCGTGCTCTACTCCACTCTACTCCATTATGCCGGCACCGCGTATAAACGACGAGTCGTACCCACCCCCGAACCTCCCGGCGCGAACCGCCATATGTCCATCAGGTTACTCGTCGTTCTCGCTGTGTGCAACAGCGATAAACACTAGCCCGAGCGCGGTGGCTCGGTTATCGAATGAGAAAAGTACGCTGCTTTATGCAGACCGCTTCATAATCCGCATCAAACTTCGCCAGAGTATATCCTTTGACCAATTTGAGGTCAACTTTTCGTTTACGAAATTCAAACATAATTACGAATGTTGTTAATTATTAAGAGTTTCGACGAGATAAAATTGCTCGAAAAATTATAATTCCCAATAAACAGCGGATACCCTATTTTTCTTCCAATGATATTATATAATTACATGGAAAGAACGGTTTGGTCAAAGTATCTAAAAATTTAGCTAAGCACAGATCTGAAAATAATTTTATTTGACTACCAAAATAATTATCTACATAAGATGCTTAAGTTGCAATTGCTAGAATAGCTTTTCGCAGCATCGCTCTCATCGTGCTTGAATTGCTTACATAATTATTTTGATGGTCTAATGAAATTATTTCCAGATCCGTATCCATCTATTTTTAGATATTCAGCAAAATCGTTCTTTCCGTATATTATTAACAGCATAATTATGTTACAACAATATATAGTTAAAATTGAAATTGATATTCGAAAGAGGGTGGCGGGCCACTCCTTTAAAAACATGTAGTACCGAGATATGCCATTTGCAGTGATAAACTTAACTTGTACTAAATATGAAACACGCCTTCATCATACACGTACATACGACTTGGCTGGAGCTATGAGGCAGACGCAAATTCCCCTCCCGAGACCAGGTTTAATTAAATCTTTTGCAAATTTGCATATACGCACTTCCGTCAGTGAGAATCCTTTAGAACCCTTGGCGTTACTGAGACCCCAGTAGAGATTCGTTTCCCTACCTACCTGTTATGTAGATCTGCCACTAGTCCTCCGAGATGATGATGATAATCTGAGCGAAGACGGCTTCGAGAGGAAGGATACCGTCCAAAAAATAAGACACTAAAAAGAAAAAGAAAAATTGAAATATAAATATTACGCCAGAAAAATAAGAGATTCTAAAAAAATAACAGCCGTACGTAAAATCGATGTGTGAAAAGAAAAGATATGTTTTAAATTATGTGAAAATTCTAGGATGATAAATCAAGGACGGATGGACGCAGCGTAGGAGATTAAAGAGAAAAGTCAAGTGGATTTATATTTTGAAATACACTTTTACTTCGACTCGGTCAAAAACTACGATAACAATAGGTCGGTAGATATGTATATCGGAAATCATTTTTGGAAACGCAGAGTGCCCGTCGCCGGTTTACAAAAATGGATAAGCTTCTTGCCGGCGCGGCGCGGTGTTTCTCGCAAAACTATTTCGCGAGTTGTTCCTTGGGCTTTCGTTTCTTTGGCAGAAATTTCGATGTAAGATCTTCGATTCCGGCACGTTCGTTCATACGTTCGTTGAATGCTTGCGAGCATTTCGCCGCTCGCGCGCTCCCCGCGACGACATTTTCACACGACAAGAAAACTTTTTCACTTCACGCGAATTGAAACCCATTCGATTTTATCATCGGCTTGACCCGAACGTGACCGCACGTGATAGCCTTTTGCGAATCAGTCGATTTCTCAAGATAACTCAGGGTCGCTGCAAATATCTCGCCAAAAGCGTGGAGCCAGATTTCTTCAATCCGAAAGATGGTTTTTTTTTTTAAAGGAAAATGCGGGTCGAAGGAAAATCAAACGCGCAACGTTGAAGATACATGTATTTACAAAAAAGAAAGGAAGCCAATCGCCAACGTCAGTCTCGACGATATTGCACGATCCCGCAGCAGTCGTTCGCAATTATATACTATGAAAACGTAATCGATGAAACTAAATCGCATCGCTCAAAACGACGGCGAATAATGATTCGATGAAACGACAATGTTCTAGCTTTATGTACACGTATATACATCCTGCGGATATCATTATTGTAATCGTCATCACCACTTTCATACCCGTGCTCGCTCTTTCGTACGCAATTCGTTCTCACTTAATTACAAATCTCCCTTCGCTCATTTGCACCCCTAAAATTCATTGGCGTGAGACACACAACACCGCGGTAAAACAATTTTTTTTTTATTTCCCAAAGCTTTCCGGAAAAAACGTCCCTCGACGAACGGATTCGCTCCCCGAGTATTTCCCGGATCAAGTTTTAATGCCCACTAGTGCTAATTCGCCATCGAGAATCGTCCTCGACACTTGGATAGTTCTCAAAGAATCACCACGTCACATTACAATTATCGATGTCACAATAGCCGATAGCCTCAAGAGCGATCAGTTAAGCGTTACTTCCCTCTTGTCTTCCAGGAGTTGCCACATTTCTCGATAGTCGAATTGTTAGATAAGAAATCACTCGCTTCTGTCTCTCAGTACGGTCTCCAGACGTTGTTATCCGGTCTGACTTCCTCTTGCCTCACGCTGCAACTATCCGCGACGGCCCTCTGCTCGGCGCTCTCGGGATTCTGGAACTGATTCCCGTAGAGCTGGGAGTAGAGGATGCTGGGAAGCACACCGGGCGTTGGAAAGTAGTTGCCGTAATTCTGCCCAAAGCCCTGTTCCTCGTGTACCGGGCTCTCGGTTGTGCTAGAGTCAGTGGACAGTGATCTGGGCGACACGTAGTCCTGATATCTCTGACTGGAAGAACCACCGGACATGAGGCTGCTCAGTGGATCCAATGGATCGGACTGACCTGGTGTCGTGGTATCCGGTACGACTGTGACATTCGAGGAAGGAGAAGCTACGCTATTTCAGTTCGCCAAAGACAAACAGGTCGACTGATCTTGCCTCTCGAGAACTATGATTCTATTGATCTTTCGAATAATTACATTTTCAACCATGAGGCTACGGCGCTTCCGATTTATTCTTCAAGGTTTTCACACAAGTGAAAAATTTGACAAATTATATTTTAATCTATATAATCTCGTTACAATCAAGTAAACTTAATTGATTTCAATTATAAAATTATCATAGCTCTCTCGCTCTCTCTATCTCTCTCTCTCTCTCTCTCTTTCTCGATCTTCGGAGAGTCAAAGTTAAACGAAACGTACATGAGAAAAAAGTGTTTAGTATTTGTAACTGTAATTGCATGGTAAAATAATTATAATTAAGAACTTTATTCCTGTAGTTATTACTATAATGTTAATAACTAAAAAATAACAGTTAATAACTATAACATATAACTATAAAAATGGAGCTCCTAACATATAAGTAATACAGCGTAGCAAATTACTTTATAATTTCATTTTACCATGCAATTACAGTCGCAATTACTAAACACTTTTCTTTCAACGTATACGGAAAGAACAATTTAGCTAAAAGATATAAAAGAGTGACCGCAAAAATCACTCGTTCTTTTTGGGCCCTCAATTTTAGAACTGAACCGTGTGCCAAATTTTATATTTAGACATTAATCACAGAGAAGTTTAAAGATGAGTTAACAATTATTATCAGAGCTGGAAGGGGTGGAATCCACAGATTTTCGCGAAGACGTAATGTGACCCTCCCTCCCTCCAGCTATGATAACAATTGTCAACTCAACCTGAAACTTCTTTGTAATTAATATCTCATTGCAGAATATCATTTGGCACACAGTTTAGTCCAAAAATTGAGATCCCAAAAAACGGACGAAAAAAATTCCTTTTTTGCGGTTACTCTTTTCCTGGACACAGATTTGAAAATAATTTTGTTGAGTCATCAAAATAATGTCAGAAATTAAGAAATGATGAGCAATATCGAAAAAAATGTTTGATATTTATAGCAATTAATTTGAGTTTTCTAATAAAATTATTTTGATGGTCCAACGAAATTTATTTTCAGATCTATATATCCAACAAAATTTTAGAATAAAAAATCTTTCAGTAAAATCGTTCTTTCCGCGTAGTAAACAGACAATTAAGCGACACCTCATGGTTGTTCACTCGTCAAAAGCATAGCAAAATTCGACGTGCAGCGAGCTAAACTTACGAGAGGAGACCGCGGAAAAAGCGTCCTGCTGCGACGTGGTGCCGGTATTACCGGTTCCGGATGTGACAGTCGAACCCGCCG